CCTCTCCGAGCATTTCTCCACCTGGCTCCATTTCTTTTCAGCTGCTGGCTGCGGGTGGACAACTACTTCATCTGGAGTTTCATTGGGCCTGTCTCTTTTGTCATCGTGGTGAGTGGCACCCCCAGCACCAGGTCTTCTTCCTTCATCTGGGCTGGCCTTAACCCTGAGCATCAGTGCACAAAAATCCTTGGGTTGCATCCCCAGCATCACATAGAAATAACCTGAGCAGCTGCTGAGAGGACCAGGTTGACTAGGTCCACGGTTCCCAGCACTGAGGCTGGCACACCAGTATCTGTGGTCTGAGTGTGCTTTATGACAAGCTGTGATACTAGCCTCACAGCAGTGATGATAAGTAACCAACTGCAGGCAGTGGGCACCTCAGGCCCCTGCAGGCAGAGAAGACCCTGAAGGAAGGGCTGGAGTGAAGATCTAGCCTGGCCCTGAGCTCACCAAGGGAGGGGCAGGAACTGAGTCCTTTCCCCATCCCCTGCCTAGGTGAACCTGGTGTTCCTCATGGTGACCCTACACAAAATGATCCGAAGCTCTTCTGTGCTCAAGCCTGACTCTAGTCGTCTGGACAATATCAAGTGAGCCCCCTACACTGGGTGCCCCCACAGGGTTTCCTGAAACATACTACTCAATGCTGGTGCTACCTGGCAGGGTTATTGGTATGACGAAGGGTGTTTGTGCATGGTATGGCTCTACTTAACAAGGTCAGAAAGCATTTATACATCCCATGCAGCCTGTGATTTGAGGGCTGCGACTACAGGCTCAAAAATGTGAGTCTATCTGAAGGCAACTTGGAAGAAAAATAGGCTATGCCAGGTGTGGTAGCTTGTACCTCCCAGCACTCAAGAGGCAGAGGCAGGCAGACCTCAGATCAAGGCCAGCCAGAGCTATATAGCAAGTTCCAGTCTAACTGTAGCTATAGGGAGACCCTATCTCAAAAAAATGAGAGAGGGAGGGAGGGCGAGAGGGAGAGAGAAATAGGCTGCAAAGGGAGTTTAAATGATCTGGAAATTTGACCAAAATGATGATGCTTGGCCAGGAATAACCCTCCACCTGGACCCACATGGCCAGGAATAACCATCCACCTGGACCCGTGGCCAGGAATAACCCTCTACCTGGACCCACCCCTGTGTCATTCAGTAGGCCTTCTCAGGGCTGGGCTGTCTTCCTTGGGGGGACTTGGACTGCCTGTCTCCCTCGATGCCAGGTCCTGGGCACTGGGTGCCATTGCACTGCTCTTCCTGCTGGGTCTCACCTGGGCTTTTGGCCTCCTCTTCATCAACAAGGAGTCAGTAGTCATGGCCTATCTCTTTACCACCTTCAACGCCTTCCAGGGAGTCTTCATCTTTGTTTTTCACTGCGCCTTACAGAAGAAGGTGAGGACGACAGCTCCCCTCAGGGACATTCAGGGGCTTCCAGGAGAAAGGCCAGAGTAGAAAGGCTCAGGTTCTCCCTCCGACCCCCAGTGTATGCCCTGGTCACCTGCCTTCTGTGGGACCATTTAAGTCTGATGGGAGGAGAGCACAAGATTAGGGTAGTAGAAGATCCAGCCAGAAGTAAAGATTCTAAAAAGAAACAACAAAATATAATGGCACAATTCAGAGAATCAGAAACAGAGAGCAGACCTAGTAACATGCTGTCACAGCAGTGTGGGGCCTGAAGCCCAGCTATAGATGGGAGACAACTGGGTACCACCCTGTTACATTTCCTACCTTAATCGTTCTCCAAAGACTATGAATTTTGTGGTGACAGAAAGGTCTTTTTAAAAGATTTTGTTTTTAATTATATGTTTGGGGAGGGGTGCTATGTGGGTATGTGCACGTGAGTACAGGTGCCCTTGGAGACCAGATGTTTGGGTCTCCCTAGAGGTAGAGTTATGGATAGTTGTGAGCTGCCTGATGTAGGTCCAAGAACATACATGCTCTTAACCCTGAGCCATCACTGCAGCCCCTGAAGAAGGTCCCTTTTAAAAAACAGATATGAGCTGGGCATGGTAGTACACACAGAGGCAGGCGATCTCTGTGAGTTCAAGGCCAGCCTGATCTACATAGTGGTTTCTAGGCCAGCTGGGTCTAAAGAGAGACCGTCTCAAAAAGACCAAAGAATAAAATAAAATAAAAATTAAAAATAAGTAAAGAATAAATATGAGGTCAGGCGTGGTGGCACACTCCTTTAATCCCAGCACTCGGGAGACAGAGGCAGGCGGATCTCTGTGAGTTTGAGGCCAGCCTGGTCTACATAGTGAGTTCCAGGACAGCTGGAGCTACAGAGAGACCCTGTCTCAAAAAGACCAAAAAAAAAGAAAAGATATGTTCAAGTCTGGACCTAAAAAAATCATAAGGGCTAGGGATGTAGCTCAGTTGGTAGAGTGCTTACCTAGCATGTACAAGGCCTGGGTTCCATCCCCAGCACCACATAAACCAGGCAGAGTGGTGCATGCCTATAATCTTAGCACTGGAGAGGTAGAGGCAGGAGGACTAGGAGTTCAAAGTCATCCTGGCACTTGGCAAATGTTCCTTAAAGATCAGTTGAGGGGGCTGGAGAGATGGCTCAGCAGTTAAGAACACTGGCTGCTCTTACAGAGGACCCAGAAAGTTGGAGGTGGACAAAAGAGGATGGACCCCAGTGAAAACAGCCTGGATGGCTGGCCATTGGGGACAAGGACAGCAAGGTTCTGTGGCCTGCTAGCTGCTCAGATAGAGCTCTGTCTCTGGACTCCCAAAGCACCCTCTCCCTTGGCCAGCCTGAGGGTGGCTGATGGCAAAGGAGGCAGGCATACCTGCCAGCTGACTGTCCACCTTCCCCAGGTGCACAAGGAGTACAGCAAGTGCCTGCGTCACTCCTACTGCTGCATCCGCTCTCCACCTGGGGGTACTCACGGCTCCCTTAAGACCTCAGCCATGCGAAGCAACACCCGATACTACACAGGAACCCAGGTACCAGGGCGGGGCAGGTGCACCTGGCAGGACTCCTTGAGGCCAAGAGACAAGAGTGCTTAGCAGGGTGGGTGGGGTGGTCCTAGGGACCCCCTCATGTCTGGGCTGTGTCCCCAGAGCCGAATCCGGAGGATGTGGAATGACACTGTGAGGAAACAGACAGAATCCTCCTTCATGGCAGGTGACATCAACAGTACCCCAACCCTGAACCGAGGTGAGAAGGTGTTCCCCCCACCCCCACCCCCGGCCCTAGTTCTTCTCACAGATGCTCCAGGCCCCAGGTCTCTGGGCTTTCTTCTAACTTCTGACACCACCCCCCAACTTGGGCAGGTACCATGGGAAACCACCTACTGACCAACCCTGTGCTGCAGCCCCGTGGGGGCACCAGCCCCTACAACACCCTCATCGCCGAGTCGGTGGGTTTCAATCCCTCCTCACCCCCTGTCTTCAATTCCCCAGGTGAGAGCACTTGGGCAGCCTGGGTACCAGGGAGGAGGCAGCACCCCGGGTCAGGAGGACCCCGGGCCAGGTCCTGAGAGGCCTCTGCTTGGGGCATCCTCAGCACCTGACCTGGATCAGGGACCATATCCTCAGCTGACTCTTCTCTTCTCTTTTCTTGCGGGCTGATGTCTGCAGGGAGCTACAGGGAACCCAGTAAGTACCACTCTATCGTGGAAGCATTTCCAAAGTGGGAGCAGGAACAAGGTAGTGAACTCTGGTGGCCTCCTATAGGGACAGGAAACTTGAGGTACTCCTACCACAGGCTATAGCAAGGCAGCCAGATGGAGTCTGGGCCTTCAGGTAGGGAATAAAAGTGAGGCAATCAACGAGGCTGGGGAGTGGGTCCAGCTACACAGGCTGAGGTTGTGAACCTTCTGTTGGGAGGGATCCCTGGAGGAACTGGCCCCACAGCAGGTGAAGAGAGGACCCTCAAGAGCAGAGTCCCTCCAGACAGCTCCGCCTCAACTCCGCTTGCCCACGCGTGTGGCCAGGCTGGGTCCTGACAGGCCCCTCTGCCCTGCAGAGCACCCCTTGGGAGGCCGGGAAGCCTGTGGCATGGACACCCTACCCCTTAACGGCAACTTCAACAACAGCTACTCCTTGCGAAGTGGGGATTTCCCTCCGGGGGATGGGGGTCCTGAGCCACCCCGAGGTCGGAACCTGGCGGATGCTGCCGCCTTTGAGAAGATGATCATTTCGGAGCTAGTGCACAACAACCTGCGGGGGAGCAGCAGTGGGGCCAAAGGCCCTCCACCTCCCGAGCCGCCTGTGCCACCCGTGCCAGGGGGCAGCGGGGAGGGTGAGGCTGGCGGGCCCGGAGGTGCTGACCGCGCAGAGATTGAACTTCTCTACAAGGCCCTGGAGGAGCCACTGCTGCTGCCCCGGGCCCAGTCGGTGCTGTACCAGAGCGATCTGGACGAATCCGAGAGCTGCACAGCAGAAGATGGGGCTACCAGCCGGCCCCTCTCGTCCCCTCCTGGCCGGGACTCCCTCTATGCCAGTGGGGCCAACCTACGGGACTCGCCCTCCTACCCGGACAGCAGCCCCGAGGGGCCCAGCGAGACCCTGCCCCCACCACCACCGGCACCCCCTGGGCCCCCTGAAATCTACTACACCTCACGCCCGCCGGCTCTAGTGTCTCGGAATCCCCTGCAGGGCTACTACCAGGTGCGGCGGCCCAGCCATGAGGGCTACCTGGCAGCTCCCGGCCTTGAGGGGCCAGGGCCCGATGGGGATGGGCAGATGCAGCTGGTCACCAGTCTCTGAGGGGCCTCGTGGACCAGAGGCTGGGGGCCTGGCCTGGGAAGGAACCCATAGAGGGGCTCTGGTGGGAGTGGGGACTGATGAAGGCAGTGGCTGGTGGGCTGCTCTCTCCCCAAGTGCCCCTCCGCCGTGGCCCTACAGACCCGTTAGGGGTTCTGACGTGGGCCCCAGGTGCCAGGGTTTGCAGACAGGGTTTCCACCAGCCACATGTACCAGCTCTGTCTGGGAGAGTGCAGTGAGGAGGAGCCCCAAGGTCCCCAGAAGTGAGGAGTGAGAAACTGGCAGGTGCATCCGCTTCTGACACCCCTATCCCTGAAGGTAGCAAGGGATGTGGCTTCCTTGGATGCAATTTCTGAGGTCGCCAAAGGTCCTGCAGGATCCAGCCTGTCAGCTGCTCCTCTCCCAACTACCAGAAGGCAGCAGTGGGGCAGCAGGACAGATGGACAGGATCTTCCTGCACTACAGTCCCTGCCCCCTGGAGACTGGGCCTTACACCTTGAGAAAGTCCAGGCACGGGATGGGCAGTTGATGGCTGGTAGTTTAAAGGTGGAACTTTATGTCAAGCTCCTTTCCCCCTTGCTATTGGTCCCTGCCCCTCAGTCCCCAGAGTGCACCCTATAACCCCCTCCTCCCTTGGGATGACTCCTGATGAAGCACAACTCCCTGCAGGGCCCCTAGCCCACAGGGGCGGCCATAATTTGGGCAGTTCCCAGTCCTGTGGGCTGGGCTATCTGGGGAGCACATTTGGGGTCTGGGGCTCCCTGAGGAGTGGGTCCTGGGCTTAGATCTTTCCCTAGGGGCCCTCTTACCCTTTCTTCTCCTTCCCTATTACTGTAAATATTTCAACAAAATGGAAAAAAAAAAAGACAAAAAAAAAAAATCTCATCACTTGAAGCCACCGGGCACCTGCAGCCCAGGCCAGCCTGGACTTTCCCAAGCAGAGTGGCAACGCCAGCCCTGGCAGCCAGAACTTTTCATGTATGTGCATCCAGCCAGGTGGGCAGCGGCCAGAGCAGCTTTTTACACTCCAGAGACATCTAGAAGCAACAGCGGAACAAAGAACCTATCCCTGTCACCTTTGCTCTGTCTGCCCTCCTCCCCCATCAAGCAGTCCTCCTGGGGCGTGTACCTCACTGCCTGCCCCAGGACCAGAGGCCTGGTCCCCTCCTGCTCCCCACTGGCCAGGGGAAATGCCCTCATGCCCAAAGATGCTTTTGCCAAGATGGCTGCACTACCCCCTTTGAGTTCCTGCTTCTTGTATGTCGCTTTGGGACTTTTGGCAGATGGGAAGAGGCTGGCTTCCTATCCTGAGGGGTGCAGGAAGGAGGGGTGTGGAAAGCAGAAGATTGGAGAGTGAATCTTGTGATGGAGGGGGAGGTGGCAGTAGTGAAGTAATCTCTGGGGGAGGTGGGACAAAGGTGAGAGGTCACTTTATCATCCACAGGGGGCCAAGGTCCGGGGTCAGGGAGCCCAACTATGTGCTGAAGACTCCACCCCAAGACCTCAGCCAGACTTACGGTGTGTGCTGAGCACCTTCCAGCCCTTAAGCCTGGCCTGCCCTCCCCCCAGTTCTTTGGGGGTAGTAGCATAGTTCTGTTGCCACAGTTGTGGGTCCCTTCATTGCCATCTCCCAGAGGTGAGCCTGTACCTCTGCTGACCTCACCCTGTCTCCCCTGTCTCACAAGTGCCATGAGTTTTCAGACATCCTTGGGTCTCAGCCTGCTGCTGCCATGAACTTCTTTGGGTTACAGGGAAGGAGCTTAGGAAGGGACTGAGAAGGGGACGGGTAGGTAGCTGGAAGAACCCTTTTTGCTGCTAGAAAGCCCTTTCCCTTCTGGGAAACAGGCTGGCTTGTCCCCATTAAGAAGGGGAGAAGGGGCCAGACCAAAGATGGTTTGTGCAGTGGGGGAACAGATGTGAGAAGAAAGCAGGGTCTGTTTCATCTCTGTTTTTTTCTGGTACAAATTGTAACCTCTCACCGGAAGACTAAGGGTCAGCCTAGATAGGGAAGAGGACAGAAGATGGGGCCAGTCTTGCCAGGCAGCTGTAAGTAGAGTAGGAAATGGCTCTGCAGCCCTCACCTAACTTCACTGGGACTAGCTGTGGATGTGTGGAGGGGCTGGCCCAGGAAACTAGAGTTAGCCCAGCCTGGACCTGAGGCTCCTCAGACACCAGTAAAGCTCCCCAGGAGTTAGAAGGCACAAGGGTCCTGCTCCCTCTCTCCTGCACAGTCCTCCGTCTCCAAATGTGGATGGCTGAGGATAGAGGATGCCTTGGCTCCTACTCCAGCCAGAATCACCGTCACGGGGGATTCCCAGTCCACAAAGTTGTGGGGCTGGATGCACCAGAGAACCCAGGTGTGCCCCACCCCAACCAGACCTGGTGCCTTGATGCCCCCCACCCCAGCTGGGACGGTATAAGGAAGGGTCTTGGTCTCCTCTCCTACTCCCTTCCTTGGGCTCCTGAACTCATTTGCTCCTAAATCTTGCTCATTCTTTCTGGATTTTTTTTTTTCTCTTGGGTTTCCCCAGCTTCCCCTTTCTCATGTTACCACCTCCTCTGTGTCTTTCTCTGTCTGTTTTCCTCTCTCCTCATCCTTCATTTCTCCATCCATTCGGGCCTCCCTGGTTCCATATCCCAGCCCCTCCCTTCCTTGGTCTCCTTTTCGATATGCCAAACCAATTTTGGGTCGAGTGCATTTAACGAGAACAAAACAAAAGGCTCATAACAAGAACGTTTCAGAAAAAAACAAAAAGTTTAAAAAAATTGTTGAGTCAAAAAAAATCAAACAATAAAGAAATTAAGATTTCTTGGAATGATGAGTGGTGTGATTCATTTGGGGCTGGGGAGGGGAAAAAAATGGAGCAGGTCTGCTCAGAGTCCCAGGAAACTACACCAGCATTTGGAAGTTAGCTAAGCATGGTGGTGCATGTCTGTAATCCCAACATGAGAGAAGCTGCAGCAGGAAGATCAAAACAACCCTTGAAGGCAGGCGTGATGGCGCACACCTTTAGTCCCAGCACTCGGGAGGCAGAAGCAGGCGGATCTCTGTGAGTTCAAGGCCAGCCTGGTCTCCATAGTGAGTTCCAGGACAGCTGGGGCTACAGGGAGACCCTGTCTCGAAAAGGAAAGAAAAAAAAAAACCTTGAAACCCACAGGGTCTGCCCATTCTCAGTACATCCCTGAGTGGTTCTTCGGTAGTTTCCTCTGACCTTCACTGGCATTCCAAGGTGCATATTTAGAGCTCTGTTTACAGATGTAGCACCTAAGTGCACATCCAGATCTCTTCACTATGCTACACTGTATCTCAAGCCCTTTCTGGCCTGGACACTTATTCCTACACTCCAGCAAAACATGGAGGTGACAGATTTCCTGTCTGGATTCCCCCCTGGAATGGAGAATTTTCAACCTGACAACATTGGAATTGAACTGCATCTTTTACATTGTTCAAATGTAACTGCTTAGAAAGAGATGACCCCTCAAACAATTTGGAGAACCTGTGTGCCTCTAGCACCTCCTTCCCAGACTCCACACTATGCCATGGTCTCATTTCTAACCTGTTGGCCAACCCTAGACCTTTTCTCTACCTACATCCACTTCCTGGAGCTTTTGACCCATTGCCTATATGCATATGACCCCTAAAGTTGGATCTCCAGACTGTCAGCCAGCCACCTACCTGCTAGTTCCACACGGCACCCTGGGAGGTTGGTAGATCTCATCCTTGACTTGTCCTACCCCTGACTCTCCCCACAGCTCCTCCTACTGGGTTCCCCACCTTGGATGAGCCCATGCATCCCTCCACTCAAGCTGACACTGGTGGTATGTCTCGAACTTGTTTCATGCCCCATATTGAGCCTCACAGTAAATAGAATGGCAGCTCTAACTTTGTTTTGCTCTTTAAACAGGGTCTCATGTAGCCAAGGTTCACCTTCAACTCATTATGTAGCCAAAGAAGGCGGTAAACTTCTGATCCTCCTGCCTCCACCCCCTAAATAGTGGTATTACAGTGGTGTACTACTGTGATGGCTAATCCTGGATGTCAACTTGATTGGATCTGGGATTAACTGAAATGAAAGAGATCTTCTTGATTGGATCATCTAAAACCGGAAGACACACCCTAAATGTGGGCGTTACCTTCTGATGGCAGCCGGTATAAAAGACCAAGGCAGAGGAGAACACCAGGCTTCTTGATGCTTGCCTTCTCTCTTACTGGTGAGTTCGTCTTGCTGCTGTAGACTGAAGACTAGCTGAT